CTCACCAACGTGGGTCAGCAGTGTTTCAATAATTCAGGCGGGATCCCGTCGGCACCGGCACACTTGCCGTTTCGCAGCTGAGCAAGTGCTCGCTGCGTCTCGTCCAGCGTCGGCATGTCCGTCAGACTCGCCTTCACTATGTGCTGCTTGAGGCCGTTCTACATAGGCCAGTCGATCTCTGAACGATTGTTCAAGAGACAGTCAAAGTGTTTGTGCCAGATTTGCAGTCTGTGTGCAGGTAGCGCCTGAGCTACCATCGGGCAATGCCCTTAGCGGCTCCAACCACGGTCGATACGCCGCCTTCCTTGTGTTTATAGCGTTCGGCGTAGCATACCATCTGCCTCACTATGTTCGTCTACTATGTATTTTGAATGCGACAGAGCTCTCGCGTTAGTTATCGTTGAATTCGCCCAAGCTTTCTCTTCTTCCCCAAGTTACTGGGGTCTGCCACATGTGCAGCAAACACTGCAATCTTCTCTGACACCAATGCGCTAATCGTCGCATTCTTCACGTGAAACCAATGAGACCACCTGCAGTTTGCGCGCCCGATGTTTTCCTCGGCAGCAGCTGTCACCTGGTCGCGTATGTGGTGCCACAGGTCGCCCACTGTGGCTATGCAGTCCACATCACACAGTCTTGTAGTCATCGTCTTCTCCAATTCAATACATTTCGCCACAGCACCGAGAGATAGAATGTTAGGTTTACACCGATTCACGACAGGAGTGCAATGTGTAGATTTACGAAAATACATGTACCATTTGGTCCGCACCAATTTGTGATCAGTATCACACTAAGCTCGACGCCGTACACGTGTCATGCGCACTTCACACATGTCGCGCTGACTTACGATGACTGGGTCGAGCAGGTGAGCGTGACTACTCCGTGGGTGCATCCAACTTGCTATATCACTCGCACTCATCGAAAATCGAGTGTTCGTGATCGTCAAGCCGTGAGTGGCACACAGTGAGAGCAGCCTATTACTGTTCGCATTCTCTGACACACATACACACCCATATATATATATATATATATATATATATATATATATATTGGCTGTTGCTTGATATCTCCCGTGTGGCTGCGCTTGATGTGCATGTTGACAAAGTGCCTAGCTGTCTATTACCCACTACCTCGTCCATAATGGCTCCAGGAGACAGTTGGTCGTTCCTGGAGGGGACGGGGTGCACTGTTCTGTTGGCCGTGTTAGGATCAAAGAGTGGTTCCATGCACTTAGTGTGGAGCGGACTTGGATGCCGCCAACTATATATATATATATATATATATATATATATATATATATATATATATGGTTGGCGGCATCCAAGTCCGCATTTGCCGTACACTTTGGCCTCCTTAGGACAGCACAGGAAGCCTGCATCTGCAGAGGGACCTTGAGTGACTTGCGCTGCCCCATCTGTAGCTCCGTCCACACACCCCATACCCAGTGTAAACTCGAAAGAATGAGACCGGGAGCCATGTGGATAGGAGCCACGTTTCCTCAACCGAACCGGGCCACTCTCATTCACCTTTAAGCACAAGCACGCTGTATCTGGGAATCAAGCGCATACAAGGTTGTGGCTAGACCGTAATGCGCGCTTCAGTAGAGGTAACCGCTTCGAGTGTAGTACGGTCACGAGGAGAGTGCACCCTGCCCCCTCTAGCGACGACCACCTGTCTCCTGGATCCAGTATAGACGAGGAAGGGGGTAATAGACAGGTAGGCACCCTGTCAACATACACATCAAACGCAGTCACATCGGGAGTGTCAAGCAGCAGTCAATCACTTGAAATGACAATATGAAATATAATGAGTCGAAAATACCCTTCGGATATATTGACATGCGCTTCGCTGAATGAGCATAGTTTATAATTTGGTTGTGAACTAATCCGCGATGAATGCAGGATGTCAGAAAATGATTTTTAATGTTGCCGTAACACGGAAAAGTTAACGACGTTAACTACCATTAGGTTAAGCAATGTGTGCAAATTAATAGAAGATTATTCAGCTAGACTTTAAAATGGGTACATAAATGCATTACTATAAGATAGTAAACCAACCGCTGGAACCTAAGAAACTCCGCATGCAAGCACACGGTTAGTAAATTGAATGGAAGTGCATGCAGCGTAGCTACTTCTGCTTCGCCGGTTCAGCTTACTTTCTCTGCAGCACCCGTCCTCGTTTCAATACTGGTCTCGAGTGGCATCGCTCTTGGCTCACTAGTCCTGCCTGGGCCGGTCACTCGTGACCGCATGTGGTATTATTGTACCATGTGCTCGACGTTGATGAAGTACACTTCATCGGCGCATACAGCTACTTCTTCGCAAGCATTAGGTTTTGCCCCTACACATCGGCAACGGCCTTCGTGATCAAATCGCTCCATGCGCGCTAATCAACCGCCTTCGATTCCCAACACCGGCAATCAACATTAGATTGTGATAACATCACCTTGGTCATGTCCGGGTAACGAAGATTTGGTTTTCCAATATGTCACGTTTCGCAGTCAGCTGAGCAAATGATCGCTGCTTCGGTATTCGCGTCTAATCCATGCGGCACATATGATCGAGCCACCACAATTTTCTTCACATATATATATATATATATATATATATATATATATATATATATATATATATAAAGAGAGAGGGAGAGATAACGACGGGGTACTTCGTTCGGACTAGGTGTGCGACTATCGCGGTAGTATACATCCTGTTCAATCCTCCTTCATTTTCTAGTTGGTTAATCCATCCCCTCTTACCTTAGCTATATAAAGATGTGTGTGGTCAGACGACATATAAACGAAAATTAATGTACAGAATCTCGGACATCGTATCCTGTGATACGTTCGCCCAGCTCAATGATCCTCTGGCTGTGATTTCCACTACCTACTCTCAACTCTTTTCTTTCTCCCAACTCATATTTTATGTGCTCTCGTTCTCAAACCATATTTTGTGGCCGGTTGTCTGCTCAATTTCACCTCCCTTTGACCTTGGTGCTCTGGCTCCTCGCATTTAATCGCCCACACTTCAACCTCGCTTAAACGTCTGAACGAATTCATTATCGCTTCACATAGTATGGCCTGATGTTATCGCTGCTCTAGAGTATTTCGATCTATCAACTTGTGCCATGATTTTACATGGGCGCCCCATGTGTATGGCCCATGTTACTTTGTATTGCACTACTGACGGCATATATTGCCATTTTTCTTTGATTTATAGGTGATGACTACAAACAATTTCGTTCTCGCAGCTTATTGTTTTAGCTCTCTCTGTGAGTAATTGAACCACTTTCATTACTAGACCGTCACTGTGTATGTATCGCAGATTCAACGCGCACGTCTCAGTGCAGCATCCTTTGTTTGGTCAGTTTCCTTAATCCCTTGTCTTGTAAAGTGCGACGTATCGAGGTGTCGCTAGTTTTTACATCCGTATGACTTGAAACCATATTTGTTGGTTATTTGGAGTAGGTTGCAGCTTGTTGCTTTGGAATTGTGCTAGAAGCACAAATTGTTGAAGTATTTTGCCGTGGAAGATGAGATGGGCTATATCATAGTCCATCACGCAGGTCCTTAGCTGTCACTTATGGCGAAGTGGCACTAGGCGTTGGCATCCGCAATCCGGTTGGGGTCCACTGGGAAGCACACCACTGACGAGACCCAGAAGGTCGAAACGCTGGCGTCTGGTGCTTTTCCAGACTAGCCTAAGCCTGCTGATTGGGAGTGAGGATGATGAATTAACTGGATTATACCTAAATCCTCACTAATACTCATCATTATTTTGCATTTGTTGCTAATCGTTCGTAAATGCTACCTTATCCACTTAAGGCTTTGGTTTTTATTGGTTCTGATGGAAATACATTCGATCAAAACTTCCAAGCGCCTTTTACTTTGCAACGAGCTTGTTTGCTAGACTGTCTTTTTTATTACCTTACGCACCAGCTAGTTTTGCCCTTTTAGCCCTAGCTTGTCCCGATTTTTGGGACATATGTTTGGCTTTACCTCCGGTCGCGAGGTTTCTGGATCGACACTCAACGAAGCGCAACTTCCCAGCTGCTGTAATGGCGTCCTCACCTGGACAGGACGACTCGGCTCATCAGCTAAAACTTTCGATAAAATATTCTCCTGAAAAATTGGGAAATCTGCTATTAATCAATTGACTCACTTTGAAATATCTTAGTTTTTAGGTAGAAGAGGGGCGTACCCCTGCTCTCACCCAGCGGTTGCCAGCATTTGACATCCATGACATGAGACTACGGTGGAACCAGAGCAGTGGATCATTGACCTGCCAGGATATCAACAACACATGTCCCAACGCGTCATGGGCTCCTACCATCACCACATTCACTTGTGTAGCTGTTTATATGGGTGATTATATTTGGTATCAAAAGGGTTGTCTTAAGAAAACGCACTTTCGCACGAAACCAATTTTTCTTGTTACTCAAAGTGGCACTCTATCTCTTCCTGGTGATCACAGTTCTTATTTCCTACTCGTATGCAGAATATCACTGACGTTTTGCACGTACAAGACCTTTCAGCATTTCTTTTTGACGTTTGTTAACTTCACCGCGTCCCGTCTTCTTGTATTTTCTAACGGCCTTGTATGTTTCGTTCAGGTACAAGAATTCACTTTTCGGCGTTTTTCTTCCTTCTTTTTTATTTTGAGCAGGTTAATAACTCGCAGCGTTAATGTGTGTTGATATTTTCATATTTGATTTCGCATATGTGCTTCCTGCACTATACATCAACTTTCATTTTAGGCGGGTCTTTACTGGATTTTATGTCAGTTGAGTTTTAGTTGCCCTTTGAGGTATTTTTACTACTTCGTCAGACGTTTAATTTAAGCACTCACTGATTGCCGTCATCCTTTAGGTTGCCGTTCACTTCATATAGGTTCACTCACTGTGTAAATTATGGTGTGCTGATGTCTCTCGTTGTGTTCTCTAATCCACCCTCCACTTTAGCTATCTGGCCTGTTAACACTTGCTCTTTTCCTCCTTGTGCACAGTTATTGGTGATCATCATCCTTACCATCACTGAATGGATGCTGCTTCTACCTCTGAGTTCTACCCGAACCGCTTCATATGGCAGTGGTGCAGATGTTGAGTCGGAGTGTCTACTTTCTACAGTTTTAACCACTCTTTACAAAGTCATTTGTACATCGCCACCCTGTGATTCGACATCTAGCGAAACGGAACAGACTACAACTGCTCTCCCAGTCGAGCTTCCAGATCCTCTTGTATCCTTGCTGTCGGATTGCCAAATACCTATTGATTTGAAGGCCTTCTCGGTGAGCTACTGGTTATTTTTTAAGCACTTCTTTGTTTCAAATTCCTTTGCGCTGCAAATTCTCCCCACTTGTCTTCTATCCCCCTCACGCGCTCTCTATCGCGTTTTATTCTTGAGTTACCCTGGCGTCCTATTACTCAGTCCCACTTCTCTTGACCTCACTCTTAGGCCCCGCAATCTCTTTTGGATTCGTCTCTCGACGTCCAGTCGTACACCTTGACAGACGCTAAACACATCTGGCCCGAATATGAGCAACTCGGTGAGACCTCTCGTCCACAACAATCGATTCGACTTGCCGCACGGGTCGCTCTCAGCCACATGTTGAACCACTTGGATCATTTTCCAATGGTCGGTTTCCCACTTTCTTTTGTGTCTCACATAGGTTTGTATTTCCACTTCGTAATTGATTTCTTTTCACCACCCACATCTGACTGCGACTCAACCCCCAGCCCAAATTATTGGTCTTTGCATAACCGTCTTTCACGCTGCAAGAAACGTCTCAGTGCCATGCGAGCTCTCAGCCATTCGGCATATTTGGTGCCTTTACATCTTCACCTTTGTTTACGGCGTACCGAAATTCCATCTCAGTTTATGCGTCTGTCGACTATCACCTCTCTGATTTCATTGAGCTTTCGGATATTAAAGAATTCTTTAGCTGGCGATCTCACAGGCTTTTGCGCATTTGTCTGATTCTCTGCGGTTCTAGTTGTTGCACTTACCGTTAACCACTTTCATTACTATATGGTTGTCCAGTGGGTCTGCGTTCAGATGAAATATCACTATTGATCGAGCTTTGTTTTTTTCCTGTAATTCCATTTATACTATGATCGATCACACATTTTTGCGGTCGTTTTCCATTTTCACTTATCTCTCCTTGTTTTCCACTTCGTTGATTTTACCATTACCTCCAGTTCACGCCACTCCTCTTGCGCTATCCATGGCACCCGCACAATTGCCACTAATCCTCTTCCCTATTCGCAAACCAACTGCTTCGCCCACTGCACAACCGTCCTGTTTTGCCAGTTTATCTGCCACTATCACCGCAGCATCGTTGCTTGATTCATGAAATAACATTTGTTCTTCTGTCTAGCATCCTGCCTTCATTTTAGTCTAATGGAATATGCTTTGTTACGAATACTTTTCGACTGACTTGTACACCTTTCGATGCATTGTCATTCTTTCTAATTTTTTAATCTACAGGATGACCAAGGAGCTCAATTGAACACGATCATTCAAGAACATCATGACCATTTTACGCCACGCAATACCTTCAACTTCGATGATACCTCTGAACTTTCGCTTTCTGTGCTCGAAAAAGACAATATACAACTGTTCGCGATTAACAAGTCCATCCTACTCAGCTTCATTTCTCTACCTGCAGTTTCGATTCAACAACAAGCGTCCCGCCACCTTTATTCTGGCTCCTCTAGCCTCAGGCAACCAATCCCGTTGAACGAATCAGCGAAATCCGGATTCTATCCTCTTGACATATTTTTGTCCCACTCTCCTTCCTCTTCTTCGACATCAGCAACTAATTTGTGGACAGCCGTGTCAGGTCAGTTTCTTTCATCCACAATCGTTTCTCACCTATTCGTACTTCCATTAGTCACCTGGACTAATTTTTGTCACCGGTTACACTTATATTATATGTATCCACGCGTTCATTCCGCCTCACAATGCTAGCCCTTTGATTACTGACTTCTATCAATGTTTCCATCATCTGAACTGCACACTTTTTGTCTCGATTTTCTCCTTAGCGGACATCAATTTAGTTTAGAAACACATCGAATAAATCATTTGTTTCGGCACTTGGCTTCGTTCGCTTCCCAATCCAGCCATTGTCAACTGCGTACCGAATAAAAATGAGTATTCTGACCGATTTCTTTCCCTTCCTCTATCGTAATGAAATCAAAGCCTGAAAAAAATCTAGTCAGGTATTTAAAGAATTCTTCACCGACCCATTTTTTACATTCCTGATGCCTTTATCACTGGTTACTCATTGCTGTTGGGAATTTCTAATGGATAGGAGGGCTTCATTTTATCCTTGGCAATAGATCTCAGTGTCTTTCTACGCATTGGCTACTTTCTTGCAACTAGCTCTAAATACCATGGCTTACCTTACTGGTTTAGCAGTCATGTTGTGGTATTTCGTGGAAGTGCCATCCACACCTATTTCTTAGCTTTTGCTCTGCAGCCACTTATGTCGTAATAAGCACTGTGAGAGCAACTTAGGTACCACTCATCAGAGGTTAGTGTCGATATATCCGACCGGGTCACTCCAAAGCCTGTTCCTTCTGTGTGAGCATGACAGTACTTTGACACTATTGCTCGCATAACCTCTTCTGCCGCTTCGCACTACTTATTTTACTTTTCGTCACTTTCTGCTAGATGCCCAATATACGCGAGTTATTGTTCGCGATTTTTCCGGAAAGTACAGTTGGGATTTGTCAGTTTTGCACGCCTTGTCGTGTAATTGGCATCATTCAGATAATGAGGGATTCATGCCGGATGGGACATCGTGCGGCAAAAGTGATAATGTCCAGGATCCCATCCTGCTTCGCACCCTACCACCTTGCCCCCCACCGCGATCGAATCCGAATCCACCCCCCTTGACGTCAAACCAAGCGTCATTGGCTCATTCCGGCTCACCGGCTGGTGACTGGTCTCATTGTACTCCAGGTGCAGTGCCACAAGTCGCTTCACCCAACCACAGCAGTCCTCTTGCTTTGAAGGACTCTCCGAATACCACACCCGATGTCTTGCAGACGGCAAGTGTATTCTCATATTCACCAGTTTCATATGCACAAGTTTCCGTCGCATCAATGACGCAAGTACTATTTGTTCCCATTTTCCATCACTACGCTAGTTATCACAGGCGTGAACAAATTAGTACAAAACCCGACTGTCAACTTTTATTCGTGAGTAGCGGGATTTTTGTTGTAATTTTGTTAAGGTTTCCATCCCACTAGTTCACAAGCTACATAGCACAGCCTAGTCCGAAAAAGCACCAGACGTGTTTCGCCCTATTGAGGCTCGTCCGTGGTGAGCATTCCTTCGGTCCCCTACTAGGGATCGAACCCATGATCGCTAGAGGCGGATGCCAACTAGCCAGCAGCTTAAGCCACTGAGCCATGGAAGACGTTATATTGCATCGTTTTTTATTTATCATATTGTTTGTTCTCTCTAACCTCCGTCGTTTCACTCACTCAACTTCGATCATTATACCAATATTCTACGGTTGTTGCTCCTAGTACAGTTATGGCAGGTCTTTCGTTGAGAAAAACCCATTGGGTATCCAGTGATCACCAAACGGGCACCGACCAATTCTCGCATCTCTATCTTATTTCCACTTGAATTATTTTTTCTCTCCTTTAGCTGCTTTCTGACCTCGCGGTGAGCAGTCCAGAATGCTATGTGGACTTGGAATCGAACTTTCGCGATTCATTACCTTCTGCTGTTACTGACAGTTCTACGATTGACTCCTCTTCCAACATGGAGACTTTAACGGGTGATCAAATTACAGCACAGTGCCAGATGGATGCCGACATTCTTTTGCACAATTCAAAGTTAGTCGCCATCACATACGTTGTTCCTGCATATGCTCTCATTATCTACGAAAATTTGCCACTCTCCCTTACTTCTGACTGAGTGTACTAACGGTGTATTCCAGTTTCTGACTACATGTTTTATGTTTTTGCCCATCACCATGTCTCCCACATTTTATCATCCTTCACCCGGCTATTCTTTTGTTTGTTTCTTTTCTTACCCATCATATTTCTTGTCCACTTGGGTTTCCGTTGCTGCTTCCATTCTGTCTCAGATATTCGTTTTCCATCGAACCAATCGATCGCGAACCTGCATCCATTAAACATCCCGATTGGTATGTGCCCCCAACTCCTCCCACATCGCCCTCTGATGATTCGTCTCAACGAGATTCTCCTTTCGATTTGGCTCATTTCGCCTCTTGTCGGCATTTAATCAATCAATTGGGTCTTCTTTCCTTTGAATGTCGTCCCACCATAGAACTAATCCAAAAATCCGCCGGGCTTGTGAGAGATTTGAAACATCTGGACAAATTCGGCGTGTAAGTCTTTCGCTTCTTTCCCTGCCTTGACCACGCCGGTTCGTAGCCTTAAAGATCACAAGCCTGCCTTGTAATCTGATGGCGCCGGTTCGAGTCTGGCTCGCCCGGGCAGCCACCGCAGCATCATTAGTCCATGTTCGACCTGTGGTGGTTGCGCAACATCGAAGTGTCTGTACTGCGTGCCGGCGTGCTGCTGATGCCTTTTTTCCTTTTTTTACCTTGACCATCACAGTTCTATCGACTAGCAATGGGAAGTTGCATTAAGCCCCGCCCTCAAGCTGCTCTCATTTCCTAATTTTCGTTTTTGCCGCATATCATTAGGCGCGAATCCCACAAAATCGCGGTATTCTACGTCAGCGCTGGACAGGAGGATAAACAATCCATTCTGGCTAATCAAAGCGCCAGCTTAGAGTTCGAAAACTTTGTTGCTGGGCTCGGTTGGGAAATCGATTTGGTCACACATCGAGGTTTTCGTGGGGGGTTGGAACAAAGCGGTCGAGCCGGAAAATCTACACCATACTACGCGACAGCGACTCTGGAGGTTATCTTCCATGTGTCAACTCGTATGCCTTCATCAACCCAAGAAGATCTTAAAGTAAGTGCCCGGTCTGGTTGTTTAGTGATTGCCACCTTAATGCTTGTCGGCACAAGATATTTATAGGGCTGGGTCGTACACTGCCGTATCATAACAAGCAGTGGGCTAATGGTTTATTACGAGTATGAAGGCTGATACCATTGTGTCTCTGAGTTATCATCTTGAGAATTGTGAGGTCGATAGCAAACGCTCTAGTGAAATAGAGAAACCAAAGTGTTGTGATTCTGGTCAAGTGACAAGCGTGTATTAAGCTGCTCCTATGTTCGTCGAGTTTACCGATTAGATAACTTGCGTTTGGGCACTAAGCGAAGTTATACCATCATTGTATTGCAATGTGTAGTATTTCTTGCGAATCTGGATGTTGATACACGGCAACTACCCTTATTGATTGCTTATTCTGGTTGGATTGAGTGAATGCAGTTGTTTATCGGCTTGCTGTTGTAACATTTGAGATTGGTCTGACCCCTATTTAAACGTACATAGGGTCTCTTGGACGGGTTTACTTGGGATGTTCCGTTTGACACTCTTTCGCTAAGTTCTTCAGCTACGCACGATGTTTTTTCAATTCACGTACTTAGCATACTACGTTTTGGTATCCCAAGTCGATATCAACGCGCATATTTGCGGAGGTCTTCGTGGGGAATCATGCTTTTAGGAGTTTTCTTCCTCTCTATAATTTTTCGCATTTTAGAGTTCCTATTTTGACCCAGTTTAGACAATGCTTTTCCTCTGCACGTACTGAGACCAAAGAGAATGTGTGACGTCACTCACAAGCACTTCAGTGCTCTAGTGTTCTCGTCGACACTTTTCCTCCTTTTTGGCTCACATAGTTTCCATGAATTATGGGGACACTTTACTTACTCTATACTCCAATAGCGCAGGTCAGATCAATACCTGCTACAAATTATCCGATGCCTTTCCGACCACGAGTAGCTTTCACCGGAATTGTCTCATTTCTCCTTTTTTTTGTTTAATCTTATCGTGGACCCCAACACAGTGTTCACTCTCGGTATCTCACGATACAGGCATTGAAGTGTTTCCTGGGGAAATGTTTATCCTGATTATGCGGACAATATTGTTTTATTGTTCGACAACCAATAGACGGTTTGATCAGCCTTGAATATAGTCTGGACCGGTTTCATCCTTCGTCATTCACTTCACACCCTCACAGTATAAAGTGTTGTTGCAAAACCGCTAGCCACTTGATAACCCATCGATTGTTGACGATGAGTAACTGGAAACAGTTGATCTAATTATCCATCTTGGATGCTACAGTAGCACCGATGGGCGAGAGCTCACTGCAACGAACAGGAACCTTTGAGTGCATTGCGACGCAAGTCTCCACTTGTTTTCTCTCGTATCTCGTAGTCTATTGCTTGGACAGTGAATCTGCTGGTCTCGTAGCAAAATCTTTGGGCGGAATGGCATCTACCGATTGTCACCTTAACTTTATTCATGCGCTTTAACCCTATGCGCCATATACCTCAGCAGTCAACATCTCGATTTCTTGTCACTGTCGCAGATCCCTTCAACACCGCTAAGCTACCGGATACCGCAACCATCAGGAAACGTTTCCTTCACAACGGTCGCTGCAGCAACTTACCAAAAATAACCTGCGGCCTCTGTTATTTCCACATTTTTGTTTCGTCTTCGCAAATTGCATCCGCCGTCGCTTCGAATATGTTTGGGCTTGAAAAGGCAGTTGGCTGCTTGCCTTCGTAATCCCTTCCACTTTTCAAGCCACAGCGTTCAAATTCAAATATCCACAATTTGTAGGGCAGGCGTGCGGGGTGCTTTTTCTTCCAAGCTTGTCCTTGATCTTCATTGTCGTCGTTAGTCCAAGCTGGAAGATGTTACATTATCGGCTAGTACGATGATTTTCGTACATTCTCCTCCGTTTAGAGTCAGTGTGAACTCCATCATTGTCTTCCTACGCGGTCGATTGGCAGTTTGCAGAAGCACTTAGTATCGTCACTGGTTGATATTTTGCATTAATCACAGTTCTTCACTGTGCCCATCATTACTACCATTGACCACGTATGAATTCCGCAAATAACTCATTTGCTGACTCCGTCACTCTCCGACACTTACAGCCTTATCCGTATCAATAACTTAGCCAATACTCCAATCGACTTATCTCTTTTTAGCACAATTTCCGCTGATAAATCTTAAAAGCCGTTGGGCGTACCCCGACATTTCGGGATCTGTTTTTAACGGCTGGTGATCTCCTTCACAACCAACTTCATCATTTGCATTTCGATAGTATTTCATGTTCGACTATACTGTCAGTCGTTCATGCCACCCTTTCTATATCTGCAACTTGATGTCAAAATCTTTCCGTGCTTGCCTACGGACGCGAAAACTTACACTTTTATCCCCCTACCCTCTCGACACGCGTGTCTTATCTTCGCTAGGTATGTCGAGACGCTTTCCGAGGATGCCGGAGGTTCCTTTCACTAACCTACTACATTCTACATATATCCCACTTTTCCCACATTCTTAGAGGTTTTCAAAACTTCGTTCTGCTCCTAAAGTTGCCCTGAATAACCAACAGGGTCATCGGTTGCGGTTTGACCATGCTCAACTCTATTGCTTCCATCACTGTTCTGGACAGGAGATTGCCAAGCTACTTTGGGACGAGTACACTCCCGGATCACTGTTTTCTAGTTGGTTGTTTTGTTTTTCTAATTCCTAAACCAGTTACCCGTCATGCCCATTGTAAAAAGCCGGTCCTTCAGGGAC